TTCATATTCTTCTCTTTGCTTCCTAGCCCTCTCCTCATCCTCCCGTCTCTTCTCCTCCTCTTTCCTAAGTCTTTCCTCTTCAGCTCTTTGATTTTCTTGTTCTTCTAGTCTCCTTTTTTCCTCTTCTTCCATCCTGATCTTTTCTTGCTGTCTAATTTTCTCCTCTGCCTCAATCTGTTTCCTCTCCTCCTCTAATCTCTCATGTTCTTCCCTTTCTTTCTTAGCCCGTTCCTCCTCTTCTTGCCTTTTCTTCTCTTCCTCTTTCCTAACCCTCTCTTCTTCCTCCCTCTGCTTCCTTTCCTGCTCCAACTGTATCCTTTTTTTCTTTTGCTCTTCTTCTAGTTTTCTCAGCAGCTCCTCCTCCTCTCTTCGTTTCCTTTCTTCCTCCTTCTCCTCATTTTCCTTTCTAATCCTCTCTTCTTCCTCAGCTATTTTTGCCTCTTCTAGCCTTCTCCTCTCTTCTTGTGCCCTCTTCTCTTCCTCAAGTCTCTTTTCCTCTGCCAGTTTTTGCTCTTGCCTTCTCTTTTCCTCCATCTTAACCCTCTCCTCCTCTTCTAGTCTCTTCTTCTCTTCCTCAATTCGAATCCTTTCCTCTTCATCTCTTTGCTTTCTTCTTTCCTCCTCAAGTTTCCTTCTCTCTACTTCCTTCAGTCTCTTTTCCTCTGCTATTTTTGCCTCTTCTTCTTGCCTTCTCCTCTCTTCCTGTGCCCTCATCTCTTCCACAAGTCTCTTTTCCTCTGCCAGTTTTTGCTCTTCTTGCCTTCTCTCTTCCATCTTAACCCTCTCCTCTTCTTCTAACCTCTTCTTCTCTGCCTCAATTCTAATCCTTTCTTCTTCGTCTCTTTTCTTCTTTTCTTCCTCCTCTATTTTCCTTCTCTCTAGGACTTGTAGTCTCTTTTCCTCTGCCAATCTTTCACGCTCTTCTTCCATCCTAACCCTTTCCTCTTGCTCTTGTCTTCTCTTTTCCTCCTCATTTCTAATCTTTTCCTCTTCTTTACTCCTTGTCTCCTCTTCCTCTTGTTTTTCTCTGTCCTCAGCTAAACTTTCAAGCCTCTCTTGTTGCCTCTTAACCTTCTCTTCTTTCCTCTCCTCCTCTATTATAGTCCTTTTTGATTCACTCACATTCGCTTTAACGTTTTCAACTTCAGGAGTGTCCTCCTCCTTCTCATCCTCTTCCCAAGGTGAACACTGCCTCGCTGCCTTTTGTTGCTCAGGTGGTGGAGAGTTTTCAGGGACATCCTCCATTGATCCATGACCTGAACTGGCCAGACTGAAATTTGAGCTGATGCGAGAAGTCCGAGATGGCGGCTCCTCACAGTATACGTGACTGCCATTGATGCATAAATTACTCTGTTCTACAGAAACCTGTTTTTCACGACCAGATGATGAATCCTTGCTGCCTGAGCTGCCTGAGCGTTTATGTATCATGAACTTAAACTTCTTTTTACCTGAAAAGAAGATGAGAGCGTTAACACAACATAATGAAAGAGGAAAGCATTAATGGTGAAAAAGTACATTCCTGACCCTCTGAGGAATCGACATTCAGACCAGATGATTGGCTGCCGGTGAGTGTGGAGTTCTTCCCAGGCAGAACAGACATAGACTGAGACATGCTCTTCTGCAAGTTAGACTTTGGAGAAAACAAAGACTTAATCTTGTCTTTCTTATGTTTTCCATCCTTGCCCGTCACCGCTTCACCATCCCCGTTGCCCTCCTCCTCGCTGTCCGTCAGGACCTGACTGAAGGACGGCGCCACGCTGGTCACAGAATCTGACTCCTTTTTTTTGCCACGAACTTTGTCCTTGAACTTGCCCAGACGAGACCGAGATTTGCCAGCAGCAGAAAGGTCGAACATGCTGGCAGTCATGTTGTTTCTCATGAACTGGATATCCAGAAGCACCTCTCCTCTGTCTTTGTCTGGCTTACCAGTCTTATCAAGAAGTTTAAACCATCTGTTGAAGAGACGCAAATTATTAGCCTTTTGTACTTATTTACACATCCACTGTAAAAAAAAGTGCAAATCAAATATCTAGAAATATGTGGTCGTTTTAGAGGTGTTTTTATCCCGACTAAACCAGAAGTGGAGTGCAATCACAAAATCAAGCTACTTGTGACCAAAATCTATCACTCAATCTATAAGTCAAGTGAGGCCTGTCTGAAGGTCTAAACTGAATGTCTCTGTAATGATCATAAAGATCAAATGCACCACAAACCCCTTGTAACAAAAGAAATTAATACTGATCACGATCTTCTAAATGATTTAAACAAATGAGAGTTACCAAGACTTGGACTCATTTATAGTAATGTGAATGTCTAGTCCTGCTCATTTTCCTCTTTGCAGAAATCATGACCCATCTCACTGCAAATGGAAAGTGGCAGCGTGAATGTTTCTGGAAAGTCTGTGATGATCTAAGCTCAACCAGCAAACTGAGCATAAAGGAAAGTCTTAAAAACATAAATTCTGTCAAGTCTACAGCAGCCCTGCAGAATTTATGAAAGCTTGTACTGTGTGTACCCTCAGCAGTTGACAACCTTTATTAAATCCTGTTCCCTTGTTGCTTGTCTCACATGATCAAATCTTCAGAGCATGGTAGATGTACAGTGCTGATGTTCACTGTCAAAATGTTTTATGCCAGTTATTATTCCTAAATAATGCATCCAACCCTGCAGTGAGTTAACAAGCCAACTGCCCCTTTGAAAGAGAAAGCTTTCATCTGACATTTAGTCGGATTCTTGCGAAACTTAGCCTGCCAGGTTCAAGGGAATTTATTCTATTATTACCCCCCACCCCCCACCCCCCTTCATCCTTTAAATATACAACACATGCACACCAAAGAGAAACCACCACATTTTGATACAGCTGGATAATAACAACACACCAAGATGACAATAAAGTAACCAATTATAAATGCTGGTTACGCCCTAAAAATTCATTCATGAAATTAAAGTCTCATGTTTAAAATGCAGAAAAAAAAATCCTAAACAGACATCCTAAAAATGCCAAGTAAGACTAGACAGGGCCAACTTTCCAGTGTTTCTGCACCTTCGCCATCCAGTACTGACAGAAGGGTCTCAGAACAGGCAGAAGAAATCTAACACAAAAGGAAAAAGGAAAAAAA